AAAAAAAAATCAAATTAAGTTCTTATGAAGATTAATGAGAGTTATGACTTTTACTTTAACATGTCTTAACAGATAAACAATTTTTTCCGGTCTGAAACTTGAGCTTTGTTTTGCTCATCGACATGATTTATCTAAATCATCCGCTTTAAATGCTCCTTCGATAAAAATTGAATTCATTGGAACTAACTTCATCTTAATTAATGTTCCTTGGATTATATCAAGAGAGGGACTAGGGGCACACCCTCTACCACACCTCCAACCACACCATCTCTCTCGCTACAGTACACCGGGCCCACATGAGACTTTATTAAATAAAATCTCATGTGGGCCCGGTGCACTGTAGCGAGAGAGATGGTATGGTTGGAGGTACGGTAGAGGGTGTGCCTCTATCATTTCTATTATATCAAACCTCGTCTGAAGTTCTGACAACAGCCGTGGATTACAATTTTATAAATGTTGAATTCTAAGCAAGAATTCCTTTATCATAGTCTTAAACTATCCGTAGTTGGTATATATATAGTTTGTTTTTACTAGTAGTTAGTAGTTGGAGATCGAAAATAGTCGCTATTGTTGTTAATGAAATTAAAAAGTATGATTACATGAATATGTACAGGGGATAATGTTTGTTGTCTAATATAGAAATTTAAAAGTACTATTGTTAATGAAATTAAAAGTACTTGTTTATACAGTTTGTACATCCACCAACATGCATAGATTAAATTAGGATTGATTTGTTCTTTCACCATTTTGGCTGATGTGCTGCTGAAATGATACATTTTTAAACTGTCAGCTATGATCTTAGGATTGTTAGTTTTATATTATAGTGGCCTAAATATGTGTCACTTCAGTTATACATCAGCAAAGACTGTGAAGGGACATGCCGATCCCTGCGTACTAGTATACATAACACCGTAACACTAATGAAACTAGAAACCGATCACATGCAGGCACAGTATGGACGGCGACGGCCCACATCGTCTCCGCAGTGATCGGCTCCGGCGTGCTCGCCTTGGCATGGAGTGTCGCTCAGTTTGGATGGATCGCCGGACCGCTCGTCCTCCTCGGCTTCTCCGGCGTCACTTACTACACATCGACTCTCCTCGCCGACTGCTATCGGTACCCTGATCCAGTCACCGGAGATATCCATCATGCGTACAAAGATGCAGTCAGGTCGTACTTGGGTATGTCATATATATGGATTTAAGTTTCTGATTGCCAGTTTAGATAACAAACAGATAGCACGAGTTTCTGATCATTACGTACGTTCCCTGTTCTGTTGCTTGTTGCAAAGGTCCGAGGGAAGTGCATCTATGCGCCAGCGTTCAGTATGTGAATCTATGGGGAACTCTTGTTGGCTACACAATCACGGCGGCTACTAGCATGATGTGAGTTATGCCTGTTCTTTTTAATAGAAATTGGGGATTTTTTAATGGATTTGAATCCTCTCTGCCGCTACAAAGTAGCGGAAAGATCACTACTACTTTTATAACGATCATGCTGTAAACAATGTGATTCATTTCAAATCTGACTCAAACAAGACCCACCCTTGTCATCCTTTGAGCGCAATCCTTTCCTGAACTTTTCACAGTGCGGTCCAGCGATCAAACTGCTTCTGGCGACCTGCACCGCCTCCGGCAACCTTGACAATGGTAGCGTTCGGATTCTCCAAGTCGTCTCGTCGCAGTTTCCCGAGCGGAGAACATAGCGTGGCTGTCGTGGTGGCCGTGGCGACGTCGGCTACTCCGTCATCGGACTCGGCCTCTGCATCGCCAAATGGGTGTCGCATGGTGATATTAGAGGGAGTTTGTCCGGCCCTAGTGGTGTCTCCACGGGTGAAAGGAGTTGGAATGCGCTGTTGGGGCTGGGGAATATTGCTTTTGCTTATACTTTTGCTGATATCTTGATTGAGATTCAGGTATTGGTATTGTTTTTTTTTTTTCCCTTGATTAACATACTCTCCTAGATGTTAATGAGAATGTGTTTCGCGGGCGTCGCATGATGTTAATGTGTCTCATAATAGAAAGATGCCTTTTTTTTCCCGGGGGTATATATACACCGTGTACAACATACAAATGATCGAGAGATAACTTGATTTGAACATCAGGAGCTCTAAATGCTAGTAAAAAAGGAATAATAAATAACTAATCCCCTAAATATGTGGGAAGTATCTGCAATTACTTTTGGATAACAATCTTTTCTAATTCTGTAATTTCAGATGATAAGGCTTAGAAGTATTGATGATTGATTGC